CCTACAGATCCATCAGTTTGTTCAGAACCATTTCTCCAGTGATTGTAATTTCATCGAATTTCTCTCTCTTCTAACTTTGGATTTCCAGACATTACTGTCAATTTTTGTCTAACATCTATGATGAACTGTATTAGTAAAATCTAACTACTCACTCAGTAGAGAATCGATGCTTAACTTACTTACTCCCTTCATTTTCAACTACCTGTAAAAACAATTACTTTTTCACCTGATTAATCTTTTATTTATTCACTGACATTCTTTAGATTCTCTACAATCATCATACCTCCCAGTCATCTTTTCCTTTAAGTTTGATTCATTTCTTAATTTCTTTAGTTTCCAAGTATGTTGGGTCCTTCACATAGAAATTTTCTTACAGTGGGAATATTCTTACTCTGAGTATTCTGAAAAATACCTCTAAATATCTACCACTGCTTCTCAATTGATCTATCCACCACTCTAGTATCTCAGTTCATTCTAGTTAACTCAGCTTTCATGCCAACATAGCTGCTCTTACTTAGGTGTAAAATACCAATCTTACTGCCAGCTTCTACCTTCGAAAATGAATGTAAAATTCACTCATTTTATAATCACTGGTAGTAAGAAGTGCCTTTACCCCGAGGTAATTAATTAATTCAGTCACTTTACATGAAACCGAGTCCAGTATAACTTACTCTCTGGTTGATTCCAGAACATGCTGCTTCTGGAAAATAACTTGCAAACAGGCTATAAACTCTCATTCAGACTTCTTTCGCCAATCTGATTTTTCCAGTTTACATGTAAAGTAAATCCTCCATGATTATTGCTGTACCTTTTAAGTACCTAACATTTCTTCTTGTATATTTCTACCTGCTTTATGATTACTCTTAAGGGGTCTGTAAAACACTCCCACCAGTGACTTCTTTCTCCTACTGTTCCTCATCATCAAATTGATTGTACATCCTGATCTCCTGAACCAAGGTCATCTCGAGTTCTTGCACAAATGCCATCCTTGATTAATAATGGTATGCCTCTATCTTTACTTAGTCTCCTATACTACTTGAACTTCTTCATGGACAGGATATTTAATATTCAAGACTCAACCCTTGTTATCATGTCTTTGTAATGGCTGCCAGGCCATATTTATTCATTTTGCCGTGTACTATCAATTTGTTTACTCAGTTATAAATGCAATGCATCTTAAGATATGGTAACTTTATACTGTCTTCTTATTGCCTTTGTAATCTTTAGTCCTGTCTTTTGGTGTATTCGTGTGTTTAATCTCCCTCCTGCCATTGTTTGACTTTCTTTTCCCATATTATGTTAAACATGGCATCTGGTTTCCACACAGCAAGCACCAAAAACAACAGAGAAATGATCAGTTAAGTTGATTTTGGTGGTATTGGATGAGAGATTTTGGGAGGTCTTCATCACTCTTCTTTTAAGTAGTGTGGTGAGGTCTCTTGCATGCGCTCTTACATGATTTTGTCTTCTTCCAGGCTCTTGGAAGGCAAATTGGATGGACTTGCTGCATTTTATAAACCTAGCAAGTCTTAATATTCCACAGAAGGATGATGTGAACGAAGAAGAATTTTGTATTAATAATCCAATTGGTAATAGCTAGAATCTTTCCTACAGACATGTTTAAATGTTTTACAAGCCAAGAAGAATTCTTCATTCAATATTCATTTTGGATTCTTTATGATTTACTATTTGGGCTCTGTTAGATTTTGTACGATATGTCCACTTAAGGATAGTTGATCCAATGTTTACGATGTTATTAATAACTTGCGTATAGCTATTTGGAACCAAAACTGCCATCTATAAATACTATCATTAAATATTTTAGAAATATTCTTCGCACTAGCTTTAGGATTTCGTCTCAGCTTTGGGGTTTTAATCTAACTATTGCAGTAAAGTCTGTTTATTATGGAGAATTCATTTTTGAGAAACTGCTTTCCAATGTTTCTATCCTGTATATTTAAATGACTCCATAAAATTCAATCTTTGATCTTTTATTAAATCAACCACAAGAAATGTTTTAAAGATCATTTACTTCATTTGAAAAAATCTCTCAATGTCCTTTTTGCTGAAGAACTGTAATTCCATTTATTTTGTTTGAAATGTGAAGTAAGCAATGCCGACAATATTTGCTTTTTTGCAAGAAATGCATTAAACTGCACTGCAGTAAATTACAGATCTCTGCAAGTAAAAGGATAAAACAAAGCAAATGAAAACAACTTGCATATCAAATTCTATGAGGGAGGGGCTTAAAGCTGCAATTTGTTATAGTAAAATATGTTGGCTATAATTAATGTTAAAAATTTTGCTTAATAAAATATGCATGCAAGAAATGTGATTGGTTTACAAAAGTTATTATATAATTAACATTTGACAGAGAAATTTTAAAATAAACAAGCTTTAAAAAAATGATAATAGCAGTAATCTATCACTGTATAAAGCAAAGTTCTGAAAATGGATATACGTGAACAGAAGACTTATTAGGAATTTAACAATATTTTGCTAGCACTTATTACCTTTGAAAACATTTTTGTTGTTTTTTAGGATTAATATTCTATATATTTGTTAATTGATTTAAAGGCAAGACAGAAATGTGTGCCATCGTTAAAATAAACCCTTATCTGCTATAAAATATTGCAGCTTTAAAGACCTTTGTAATATGTTAATCTGGAATGAATGGATTTCCATGTGAATTCCTTAGAGTTAACATCACTGAACTGCTCGCCATCAACTTTCTTAGGGCCATCATTGACTAGAAATTAGACTTGATAAGCCTCATAAATGCCATGGGTACTGCAATATGTCAAAAACTGCATAGTTTACAAAAAATGATTCGTCTCCTGATTCCCTAAACCTTCTCTACCATACGTAAGGTAGAATCAGGATTGATGGAATAGAATTCTCCTTACCTGTCTTAACGGCTGCAGAAACAACACCAACACCCAAGATGCCCAACAGCATCCAGGACAAAGCAGAACTGACTGGCACCCCATCTCCCACTTTAAAGCTCATTTCCACCAGTGGCATTTTTTCTTGATTCTTCCATTGAATGTGGGAGTCACTGGCAAAGCCATCATTTATTGCCTGTCCCTATCTGGCCTTGACCTGAGTGGCTTGCCAGGCAATTTCAGAAGGCATTCAAGTGTCAACCACTTTCTATGCATCTGGATTCATTTGTAAGCCAGACCACATAAGGACAACAGATTTCCTTCCCTAAATAGCATAAGTGAACCAGACTGCTTTCTAATGGCAATATTTTCATCACATCATTACTGAGATTTATATTCCAGATTTGTTAATTGAATAAAAATGTCATCAACTGGTGATTTGGGGTTTTCAGCATATCTCCATTGTATTATTCTAGGCTTCTGGATTGCTAGCCTCACGACATGATCATTGCGCCACCCTCTGCATTCTGCAAGGGCACTAGTGCAACAATTTATTGAGGCTGCTTTGGAAGCACTTTCCAAATGCTTAACATTTCAGCTAGGATCATAGAGTCCCTACTGTGTGGAAGCAGGCCATTCACCCCGTTAGGTTCATGCTGCCCCTCCAAAGAGCATCCCACCCAATTCCCCCTAGCCCTGCATTTTCCATGGCCAATCCACCTAGCCTGCACATCTTTGGACTGTTGGAGGATCCCACACAGAAACAGAGATAATGTGCAAGCTCCACACAGGAATTGAACCCAGGCCCCTGGTGCTGTGAGGTAGCAGTGGTAACCACTGAGCTACCAAAATGCCCAGAATGATAGGACACTACTTCATCAGGAACATTGCAGCTTCTAAGATCCTTTTCAAATCAGATGCCATCTCAACATGGATGTAAACTGCTGATCCTTCATCAATATTGATATTAAATCTTGGAACTCATTGTCTAAGAGCATTTTGGATGTCCCTCCACCTAATCAACAGCTAAGGTTCAATAAGATTGCACACCACAACCTTCTCCAGGGTAATCATCTTAGCCAATAAATAGTGACCTTGCTACCAAAACTAATCTCCCAAGAATGATTTTTTTTAGCAAACTGAATCAGAACAGAGTTATAGAGCAAGCAGAATTCAGCAAGTTTGGTTGTGGATACAAACTTTAAGACAACTAAAATTAAAGTTAATTTACTTAAGAAATATATTGCTGTTAATGGAAAGTGTGCATTTTCTACTCTAAAGAAGATATGTTTGCAAGCTGAAGCAAACATAAATTCTGTATTCTCGACACAGAGCTCATGTCCTTATATTTCCTGATGCACATATCCCTTAGTATAGAATAAATGCAGGGTTGTTCATTCTTGGATATGAATACTTGAAAAGATAGATCCGAATACGAAGCTATTTTCTGTTCTATCTTTTAGGATACATTTTAGTATGCATTTTGGTATATTTCTTGTCCGGAATCTAAAGATGTTAGAGTTTATGAAAAGTATATAAGGCACAAGCTAGGAGAGAAGTGAAACAACCTTATTAACAGCCAGGTGATACACTCTACAGAATCTAAGCCTCTCAATGTGAAGACTGCAACGTATTTGTGATGATCGTGTTAAAGCTAGAGAACATCGCTCACTCTAATGCTTATGGCATCACTGTTTTTCCTCTAGATGCTGACAGAAGAAGCCACATGAGGACAGACAGACTTTAAACAAATTGGAGCAATTGAGCGGAATGCAAAATAGATCCAATTTAACATGTTTGAATTACTACAAACACTAATTTCCTCCTTCCTCTCTGGATCTCATACTAATAAATTTTGGAAGTGATAATTACGTCTGCTATTATCTTGTCTATTAGTTCTACATCAATGGCACCAGCTGCTGGAAAGGGACAAAATGACTATTTAATCATTTCAAAGTCAGCACAAATTCAACATTATGTAGCCTGACGGCTATTAACTGACTGTGCATGAAATGATAAGACAGTGTGTAGGACAAAACTACACTGTGTAAACAATTAACAATGAGAAAAAAGCTGTAGGAGGATGAAAGAATTACCAAGAGCAATTGCTAATGATGTATTTTGTCGCTGCCTTTGCTTTATTTCCTTGCATTAATATGTAATTGGTGATAGATTTACAGGAGAGATAGCTCACATTGGCATTGCACAGGTCTTGTTTGGTTGAAATCACATGGAAGTCCATTGATCCCTTAATGTCTTAAATTGAGAAGGATATATAGGCAACAAATTAGAAAGAGAAAGGGAATAGATCTTAAGATTTCCAGCAGATATTACCAAACCATGCTACAGTGACTTCACATAACAAGTGGCATATTAGCTTTCACTAGTTTAGACAAAAAGGTGATTCTGCATTCTTCTGATCTGCACCACAACAGGGGCAAATATCAATGTCATTGTTTGCTCATTGTCTTAATACCACAAATGGAGTATTTGAGAATCAGAGAGGGAATCACAAGGTGTGTTCTGTAGGTACAAGGCTCACTACAGTTTCAAGTTTATTCCTTTCTAAGTATTTCTAACTTTTTTAAAATCTGTTTTTTGTCCCTTGTTTCTTCCAGGATAGGTTGACGTGCATGGAGGCTAAACCATATTTATATGCGACATACTGAACATATCAGCTGGTCTTGTCTTTCCTCTTCATATGATACTTCTCCTGTGAAGCAAAAGTTTGCACACACTATTGAGGGTTTAATACAAATGTAGTGGCCCCATTTATTAGATTACTTTTGTGTCCAAATTGAAACAAAATAATCTGAAAGGGAAGAAACCGTGTCTGCAGTATTTTGTGCCTGATCATTTAACACAACCATAGCAATAATCTGACAGAAAGAAAGTTGGCCTAATAGCCCTATGAGAAAATTGGCTCTGTTTCAAGAGTGGAAGGGGGACTTGCTGGGGACTAGCTTTCAAACCACTATTGCCTGCAGGAGTCTGAAACACATCCTTATTTCCATTGGTATCGGGAGCGCCAGCGCATTCCCATCCAATCGTAGATATCGAAGGCGTGGTATCACATCCAGATCATGGGCATGTAAAGCAATGTTATCGATGGGACATGGGCAGATTTCAGTTCCATTGATTTCTGTGAGGAAGAGAAAAGTAACTTTAAGTTGGTAGATGTTCAGGAACCAAAACGTCCTGCATTAATCTTTTCCACAAATCCCTATATCCAATATGATAGTGGCAAATGTCTATGGAAATGAGACACACTGTCATTATATCCATTTGGCAATGGTGAGTTATGTACCTCCCAGCTCCTTATCCTCTACTGCAGTGAAAGGTTACAGCTAACTGTACTTTGCTGCTTCGAAAATTGCTTTAAATTTTGTGAAATTATCATATCAAAATAAGGGAGAATTCAAGGTATTAAAATGCCTGAATTACCTCTGACCCTCTATATTTGAAGACTTAACTTGGCATTCACTCATTGTGCAAAGTGATTTCAAGGGTGGCCATCTCTTGAGGCCACAAATATAAAATGCCTGGGGGAATGAAGTCATCATGTATTAAGATGGCATCATCGTGTGCATGATGACATTGTCATTTATTTGGATGGCATCATTGCCTGTGGGGAACCATGACAAAAATCATGGTGGAGGAAGATGGAAAAAATATATACGTCAATTTGACGTGCATCCAATCTCCTTGACGTTGCTGTAGATGGGGAAAGGTCCTTATTGGTGTAACAGGCAGGTAGTTATGGCATAGTGAGAGTGTCCCTATCTTACACCAGAAGGTCTAGCTTTAAGTCACACCTCTTCCAGAGGTATTTCTAAGCAGGTTGAGTTTTGGCTGATCTCTGTGTAAATAAGGGTTTGCTCTTTTTCACATGGCTCTTGTGACACAGCAGCAGTGTCTCTGCCTCTGATCCAGGAGATCCCAGTTCAAGACCCACGTGCTCCAGCGGTGTGTAAAAATATCTCTGAGCAGGTTGACTAGGAAAATACTTACATGTGCACAAAGTGATATTGGGCAGTGGCTAGATATTCAAAGAAACTGACCTGTCTAGTATAAAACTGAATGGATGGCCAGCATAATAACACAGGAGATTCTCGTATTCATTATTTTACATTGTATACATAGTTTAAAAATAATTCAGATTCAAATTTTCAGATATAAATTGATTATTTTATACAGATCCCTGATTTCTTAAACAATATTTTAGGCCATCAATGCAGAAGAGTTTTAGCTTAAAGATAAGTGCAAGATTTGAGTAATCTATTAGCAGGATATTGTAACTAGTGGTGTCACTAATCAACACTGTAGGTACGAATGATAATGTCAAACTTCATAACACTTGTTCAATAATGAATCAATATCTACTATTAACTAAAGTAGACAATATTACTGATTTTTTCTGTCTAGCCAATTACTAATAACTCCATTAACTTGTATTAAAATAATTGTCTTTTAAGTGTAAATCAGATAGTAGTTCAGTGGTAAAACATCTCTACTGATCAAACAGTTTGAATGAAAAGCTAAAAGAGAGTATCGTTGATAATCTAAATAATTAAAAGATCATCAACAGTTTACAGATACTTCAAAGTAAATTACTTATAATTCTGAATAGTTTACCATATTGTGTAGAATTGGAACAATCAAATTGGAACCTACCAAATAAAACACAAAAACTTACTTCCAATATTGTTGTGGCTGAGATGCAGGTGTTCCAGCTTTGTATTAAAGGTTGGTATTGAATTGAGTTTGTTGTTGGACAGGTGGAGATCTAGGAGAGTTGATAGATTAAAAAGACCATTGGGAATACCTTGGTCTGTCAACTGGTTAAAATTCAGCCTTAAAAATGCCAAATGGTGTAAATTCTTGAAATAGTCACCAGGTATTTCCTTGATTTGATTTTTATCCAAGAAGAGTTGGAAGACATCCTGAGGTATGGTTGGAGGCATTTTCTTCAAGGAATTGTGAGCCAAGTTGAGCTGCATTAGGCTTTTGAGACCTTTGAATGTATTCTTATTGAACACACCATCAGATAGCTTATTGTGGTGGAGGTCAAGTAAAGTGAGATTTTCCATCTTGCTGAAGCTACCTGCTGGGATTTTGGAGATTTGATTCCTAGATAGTCGAAGTTGTTCTAGACTAGATGGAAGATTTGCAGGAACTACACTTAATTTATTTCTATCCATGTACAAGAAAAGAAGTTTATTCAGAATGTTGAAAACTTCCTTATCAACCTTTTGGTTCGAAATCCTGTTGTTGTCCAAATTGATCCATTTGAGTTCTGTTGCATTCCTGAAAGCCCGTTCTGGAAGACCATCGATGAAATTATTTTGGAGATAGAGATAATGGATCCTAGGTGGAATGATGGGGACCATTCTTAGATTACGGCTGTCACAATAGAGTGCGTTGGGATAGTCAGGGGGGCAGTTACACTCTCTTGGGCAGTCTGGGTACACAGACACTGGACCTGGGGGTAGAGGTGGTGGAAGTGTTGTAACATGACTTGGCTCTGTAGGCTCAATGACAATTGCTTTTCCAGGCTTTGGAGTTTTTGGAGCCTTGGGAAGCTTGGGAGGCTTCGGAGGCTTTGGAGGCTTGGGAGGTTTGGTTTTCGGTTGACGACGTTGGCAATGGACCACTGTGGTCAGAATAAGACAAATGGAGAGTATGTATCCAAAATGGTTCATGATCCAGATGAACCTTTACTTGAAAAAAAAGTTCCAAAGTTTTTTGTTAATATGCAATGAATAGATAAATGAAAAGAAGCAACTGAAACTAAAGCTTAGTTAATTATACCTCATAAAACAAACCTGTATACAAACAGCAGATAAGTTTAGGAAAGGGTTCAGATAGCACTTTAGCTTTTGAGCTTGAAGATCATGGGTTCAAGTCTCACTCTAAGACCTGATGACCATGGATGGATTCAGCACAGTATAGCCTATGAAGTTGTTAGTCAGCCAACAAACCCTTCCATGTGGTTCTCCAAAGGAGAAGCAAGTATAAAATATGATAGACAAGCTTATAAAGTTTCTCCTACATAAAACCTTGGGTGATGCAGCCTAATTTGTTGTGATATATACAGTATTATTTTAATATTAGTGTTAGCCCATTACTTTTAATGCGAAAGTTAATCAACACAGAAAAATCGCCACACATGCCTCACTATAGTGGTGGAAGTACGACATCAAAGCAGGTATTGTACAATATAAAATTTTGTTTTCCTTTTGCAGGAAACAATTCCTGTAAATGTGTTGATCTTTGCTGAGACAGCACCTGGAGTATTATGCATGGTTTGGTCTCCTTATCTAAAGAAGGATAAACTTGCCAAAGAAAGAGTTCAACAGACAGATTCCTGGGATGGCAGGATTGTCCTATGAGAAGCGTTTGGGAGTATGGGCCTGTATTCTGTGGAGTTTAGAAGAATGAGAGGCAATCTTATGGAAACGTACAAAATTCTGACATAGCTCAACTATATAGATGTAGGAACGATGTTTGTCCTGGCTGGGGATTTAGAAATAGGGGAAAGAGTCTCATAATAAGTGATACGCCATTTAAGCCTGCGAAAAGGTGGAGATTCTTCACTAAGAGAGTGGTGAATCTTAGATTTCTCTGTCCCAGAAAGCTGTGGAGGCTTTAGTTGTTCAACATGTTCAAGCCAGAGACTGATACATTGCACAGAATCATAGAATCCCTACAGTGTGGAAGGAGGCCATTGAGTGTGCACTGACCCTGCAAAGAGCATCCCATCCAGACCCAGACCCTCACTGCATCCCATAACCCACATTTACCGTAACGAATCCATTTAGTCTAACACATTGCTGAACTCTATGGACAATTTCAGCATGGCCAGTCCACCTAATCTGCAAATCATTGGACTGTGGGAGGAAATGGAGCACTGGGAGGAAACCCACGCAGACACAGGGAGAATGTGCAAACTCCACACAGACAGTCACCCAAGGCTGGAATTGAACCCGGGTCTCTGATGCTGTGAGGCAGCAACGCTAGCCACTGTGCTGCCCAAATTCCTAGATATTAAAAGATATGAAGGGACAGGACAATTGTGTGGGAAAATAGCATTGCGATCAACCATGACCTTGTTGAATGTTGAAACAGGATAATTGGACTGAATAATTTACTCTTGCTTCTGTTTCCTGTGTTCTTAAGAATCAATTGCTCCTTGTTCAGTGTACCATAGTTGTAGGTCATACTATATTGCCTCAAAACATTTTGATTCACAATAGAGCACTGCTCAACTAATCTATAGCCTATCTGTAGTGTCACAGGATGGGACTCCTTTTAAGCTGAAAAATTACTCTGTGATGTTATTGATCAAAAATTAAGAGTTTTTTTCAAATGAAACTTTCACTCTGGGATTTTAACATAGGTTTTTGTCTCCATTGGAATTAACATTCTTTTAAAAGTAGTGGATAGAAGAGCCTAACCAAACACATGGTGCAATCATACAATAATATTATGTGATATATTATATGGGGCAGCACGGAGGCACAGTGGTTAGCACTGCTGCCTCACAGCGCCAGAGACCTGGGTTCAATTCCACCCTTGCGTGGCTGTCTGTGTGGAGTTTGCACATTCTCCCCGTGTCTGTGTGGGTTTCCTTTGGGTGCTCTGGTTTCCTCCCACAGTCCAAAGATGTGCAACTAGGTGGATTGGCCATGCTAAATTGCTCATAGTGTTCAGGGATGCGTAGATTAGGTGGGTTATAGGGGGATGGGTTTGGGTGGGTGTTCTGAGGGTTGGTGTGGACTTGTTGGGCCAAAGGGCCTGTTTCCACACTGTAGAGATTCTATGAATGAACTATGAAATGAACAACTCCACAAAGGGTGGAATCCTGTCACCTTGTCACCCTTTATTTACAAGTGGACCTTGACACAGGTCCAGCTCCCTCAGATCCAACTCTTACAGTGAGCAGGATAGCTGACACTCATGTTCTTATCTGTCAGCCAGGGCTCCCTGATTAGACCAGATTAACAGCCCCAATTAGGAAACTCATTTTCTACGAGGTCCACCTGGCTGATCTCAAAACAATTACTATATTATGCACTATCGTATGCTCTACTTCTAAACAGTTGCAAAAAATGCAAAAATAAAGATCAGAATCATTGAAAAAGTATACAGCACAAACATCTCCCACACATAAAACATATGCAGTAGAAATTGAGATAACAAGGTGTAGAGCTGGATGAACACAGCAGATCAAGCAGCATCAGAGGAGCAGGAAGGCTGACGTTTCTTTCTGAAGAAGGGTCTAGGCCCAAAACGTCAGCCTTCCTGCTCCTCTGATACTGCTTGACCTGCTGTGTTCATCCTGATCTACACCTTGTTATCTCAGATTCTCCAGCATCTGCAGTTCCTACTATCTCTGCAGTAGAAATTGTCCCTTTTCCAAATTCAAATTACTGAGCACTGTTCAAAACCTGTAGCATTGTGACAGACTACTAAAAAAAATTACTTCCAAATGATCTCACTGTTTCACTGCGTTAGGCTAATTAATTCCTCCTGGCTACTCTGAAAGGCTTAGCGAGTTCACACTGAAGGATTCTATTTAGAATTGAATCAGTCTTGCTCAAAGAAAAAAAATAAAAGCATATGGTGCATCACTTAGAATCTTTCAAAGCTGCTGAAGTAATTGTGTACACAGAATAAAAATGAGAATTATATTAACATGGAGTACTCTCTGACATCCCTCTGGCAGTGCATTGCTGGCATCATTTACATTTTACTGTTAGCAGAGACAAGGTTACCAAAGGTGGAACAATACTACCAAATAATACCTACCAAATATTGTAGGTGCTGGATATCTGAAACAAAAAACTGAAAATACTGACAACACAGTATGGCTTCAAACACATTGGATGGTGCCTCTACCCATTACATAAACAAAGGTGGCAAAAAGTCTGTTTCAATGGTCCCCTGTTCATCTCTCAGTAGTGGGTTATGAAGTAAACATTGTACATGTCAATAAGAGAATTAATGGGAGCTGAAACATAACTCCTTTGTTTATTCTTTTACCATAATTATGTTGGTAGCACGTAAAGGACAGGCAGTAGAATAGCCGCAACAAGAGTGTGTTGATGGCACAGTCCAGAGTGCCTGGTTCAACAATATGCTTCTTGTTCCATTTTTAATCAATCTTTATAATTGGGTGTTAGGTTAATTAGAGAGAAATGGGCTGCCTAAAGTGTACTGGGCTGTGACCATTATTGTCATCATTGGAAAATTTCTTAGCATGTTCTACGGATGGAGAAATAACAACATTTGCCTCTAACCAACACTGTAAAGAGATTATCTGGTCATTAATTTCCTTACTGTTGGTGGGGCTTGCTGCGCTTGAATTGACTACTGCATTTGCGACTCTCAAAAACTGCTTCATTGATTGTAAAGCACCTTGAGGCACCTAGAAACCATCAAAGGCTCCATAAAAATGCAATTCCTTCTTATTTATGCAATACATTGTTCCAATTATATTTTTGTGCCTGTACAGTAAATCTTTCGATTACATTAGGCATTTCTATTAACCTCATGTATTGGAAGGGAAAAACAGTCAAGTGTGAGGCAGCCTGTTGTATCCTGATTTTTGTTCCTGATTTGTTGGATTGAATATTATGAACCTCCAATATAGCACCCAGGAATTATTATCACATTACTGTCCGACAGAAACGTGTAGGCAGTAATACTTTATCAATAGCAATCCCATCATTTGTAGGTTACTTATTCTGAAGTTTCTTTTAATGGATATTTTCTTCAGCTGAATTAATGGGCTTGGGTAAAATTAGAACATTCATTCTGTTGCCCTTTATGAGTATCTAACATGGAAATATTATTGACATATATTGGATGTTATTTAATAATTAAATTTAGAAAGTTAATTTTAACAATAACTGTGGAAAAATTATGTCATGTGTATAATAATGTAATGTTTTAGTTGCTAAAACTACACTGGTTTATGAACAGTGGGGCAAAGTACTTTGAACGAAAAATCAATTAGTTATTTACATATCCCTGTACTTCAACATTTGAAGACAGAAGAAAATAATTACATTGCAAGCCATCTTTAAATATGTTTCATCTTTTTGAACATTTACATATCAATGCTTAGAGATATTCCTTAATAATTTGAAATGCTTTAACACTCAATTTCACGGAATTACAGAATAATACAGCAAAGAAAGAGACCATTCAACACATCACGCACATGCTGTCTCTTTGAAGGAGCTATCCGTTTTTATAGCCTATCTCCGCTGCCTTGCAAAAGGTATCCCCTTGTGTCTAATTTTTTTTTGGATTAAAGTGATTTAGAAGGTTTAAATTTTGTTTAACATAATGTTATTTTTATCTCAAGGCACAACTGAATCTAAAGGCATTGGGTGGGAGTGACATCAAAGTTAATTTCAGCAATCAGAGTAATTGGAAGACATAAACAAACACTGCAACAAATAAATTTGTCCCAGAGAATCAAGATTGCCTTCCCCTGTCCTCTTCCCTGTCAATTATGCCAATGTTTCTATTTGTTATGTGATATAATTTCCAGATTTCCCATTCCAATTTGGCTATCAAACAGGTCAGTTGGATTGTCAATCAGAATCACTGAAACCATTTTCAAATGGGCTGAAATGATAAATTGCACATTATAAAAACACTACTTGAAAATCTTATCAAATCGTAATTTTGTTTTCTGTATCCACCA